TTAGAATAAGTCTCATGGTCATGCGTTTGCTACATGTACCACGTCTCTTGTAAAACCTACTGTCTCCAATAGCCGCCTCGTCTATCCTGGCTCTATCCCGAATACCAAGTCTAAGAATTGCCATGTCCCAGTCGCTTGTGTGCAAACCCACAAATGTTGTGGTACTACCGGCTTTGATTAGGTTCAATGCTGATCGTTTCGTGAAAGTTTACCATTTCGAAGGGACAACTGGTTTTGACGAAAAACGGTTTTTTCTAAATCCAGCTTTTGTTCATGCATCCTCCTCCTCCTCTTCGCCTTCGTCCTTATTTTTGCCGTTTTGAGTAGTTATTTGAGGCTACCAATAACTCCGATATTCGAGATGCATTCACCCTATTTCGTTTAAAGTGATGAAGACAGGTAGTTGAGCCACCTCAAACGAACTAGTGTGAACACGGCGCCTATATCTGATTTAGTGGTAATCTCGAAGAGCCATTCCAAACGAAAGATACTATGGAGATTGTTTGACCCTGTTTTCGCAACATGGTCATATTGGTAGGAAGACTTAGAGGAAGGCAACTTGTCGGGAGTCCATTGTATGCATCATCATTTCCAGAGTAGGACCATGGACGTGGTACATTTCCACGTTTCAACTTTGAAAAAGATCAAGCAGACAATGGACTCCGGACAAGGTGCGTTCCTCTAAGTCTTCCTACCAAAATGACCAAGTTGCGAAACAAATAAAAAAGACTGCGACCACACAAAAGGCCACACAATCTTGGTCTTCATACCTTGTCAATATAATATAATTAATGCTAGCATTGTTGTTGTTTTTCTTGTTATTCTTCTTCTTATTATTATCTTTCTTTTTTTCTTGCGACAGGCGACCAACCGGAAGTGCTGAAATTCCTCTCTCACTTGACAAACGGGAATCAGGTGGTCGTGCGGATGCGAGGACTTCCATACACCGTAACGAAAGATAAAATAGTGAGTAGCCCACTGTGTCTAACCCCTTTATGAGTAACTCTTGCTTTCCGTGTGTATTCCTCTTGCCTGAAATGCTGATTGATACTTTGTGATGCAGTTGATTCGGTACTGGTCGACTAGGGCTCCTAGTCCGAGCCCTCAGGCGGTCTGGCACTCTGGTTGATTGGCCGCTTGATTGGCCAGAAGCCGAGGTGCAAATAGGAGACGGGATGCACAGCGCCCAGAAGCTGAGAGTTATCCTCTCCGTCGTGTGGTCGTTCGTCTCTACGACGAGTACAAGACTGCATCGAGACGCTGGTGTTGGTGTTGGTGCTGGTGCTGGCGAGTCCTGAACGAGATTAGAACTGCGCCGCATTCTCTCGACGCCATTTTTTGCCAGCCTCAATCAGGTTCACTTTACTCTGACCCGATTGACCTTTTTCAGCCCAATTACCCATTTTGTTCTTTTGTTCATATCCCCTTTGGTTCACGGTATTATCGTGGAAGATGGCCCAGTTTTGGACCACATTTACAGCAATTTTGTATTTACGTATTCGTCCTGAAAGGGTCTGTCTGGCCGCGAAATTGGTACATTAAAGTGATTTTGTCTCGTTCCCACCCTTTCATTTCTCGACCATGCTTCAAATGCGCGCCTTCACAGGCTTCAGGTAAGCTGTCTTTTTTCTTACTCTTTGCCCGGTTCTCGCTGCAATCCCGACATTCAGGCCTCAGCCACGCCCCCAGACAACAAAGAGCCTCCTTTCCCTCCCTCTGTCTCTCTACTGCTCTCTCGCTCCTTCCATCTCTCGTACTGTCTCTTCTCAAGAGCACGAAGCCTCCGGCTTCAAGACGACATCCGGCCTCTGCAGACGACTGACTCTGCCACCGCCAGCTTGGCCAGTATTTTGCCCACAGTCTGGCCGGTGGCGCGGTCCGTTTGCATCCGATCTCTTGTCTCTCATTTCTGCTTTTCTCAGGCTCCCTTGCCTCCGCCTGCCCGGGATCCTCTTGTACCAACCCTGGCTCTACAATTTAAAGCACTTACTCTTTTATTTGGGGTGTATTTTTCTACTCGTTCTCGCCAAATCAGCAAAATTTATCTTTTCTTCTCTTCCTTTTATACTTCTTCGTCCTCTTCTTCGGCTTTTTTCTTCTTGTTGCCTTTTTATTTTACTTCCTTTTTCACTTCTTTATATTTTCTTCTCTCTCTTCTTCCTCTTCCTTTTATACTTCTTCGTCATCTTCTTTAGCTTTCTTCTTCTTCCCCTTTTATTCTTATTCCTCTTCCACTTCTTTATCTTTTCTTCTCTTTCTTCTTCCTCTCCCTTTTATACTTCTTCGTCTTCTTCTTTAGCTTTCTTCTTCTTCTTCCTCTTCCACTTCTTTATCTTTTCTTTTCTTTCTTCTTCCTCTTCCACTTCCTTAACGTTTCTTCTCTTTTTTCTTCCTCTTCATTTTATACTTCTTCGTCCTCTTCTTTAGCTTTCTTCTTTTTCCCCTTTTATTCTTCTTCCTATTCCACTTCTTTATATTTTCTTCTCTTTCTTTTTCCTCTTCCACTTCTTTAACGTTTCTTCTCTCTTTTCTTCCTCTTACTTTTATACTTCTTCGTCCTTTTTTAGCCTTTTTTTCTTCTTCCCTTTTATTTTACTTCCTCTTGCACTTCTTTATCTATTCTTCTCTTTTTTCTTCTTACTCTTATACTTCTTCATTCTCTTCTCCTCTTTCATATTCTTCCATCTATTTATATTTCTTCTTTTTCTTCCCATTATTCCATTTTCTCATTTTATTCCCCTTCTTTTCCATCTTCCTCTTTTATCCTTATTATTATTATTATTATTATTATTATTATTATTATTATTATTAATATTATTATTATTATTATTTTCGTCTTCTTTTTTTATTCCTCCTTTTCTTTTCCTCCCGGGTGTCTACGTTATTTGAGCCTGTCATGCTTCCTCTTGTCCTGTCCAAATGCATCATCCCTTTTTATGGAGTCAGTCTTGTGCAATAACTCGTGCATTTATATCCACCATTTTCATCCCCTTTCGCCTGAGCCATTTTCGTCTTTTCTGTTCGAGTGAGGTTGCTGGACTGCTTGGTTTATGGTTGACTAGAGCGCCGCCATTCACGCCTCGGTGTCTACTATCAGAGGCCAAAAGTTGCAGGGACCACAAGTTACCCTAAACTTCTCTCGCATAAAGGTGAAACTCCACATTAACACACATGCTCTGATGCCATAAACTATATTGTATATGACATGACATGACATGCCATACCATATTATTTACTTTGATCTGGTGTCAAATGAATCCTCCTTCAGTAGTGGTACGATGTGATATGAAATTGCCTGAAATGCTATGGCGAACTTGTGCAATAGAAGATAATATGTTATGCAATGATGGTGGCAACACAGTAAAACAATGATTATGATACACAATGGTACAAAATGCACTATTTTTTACGAGTCTGCAGCCTCGTACGTAGTCGGGTCCGTCATGCACAGATTGTGGCCCCACTTTGCAGGTGCATGCGGACTAGATGATGGAGTGTGAATGTGGGACCCCGGACCCCAACTCATGTTAATATCTCAAGTAGCCAAGAATAAAGGAATCCTCGCCTTAGTCCAGACAAGAAAAGATGCTGTTTCTGGCCCTCAGGCGTCTGATTATTGAATGGACTCACTTCTTGGCTCACTGTGGTACAAGAACTGATGGCTTCCCTACCGAACGTCTGTTTCAGTTTCATCTCCTCTTCTCATCCGCAGCCTCAACGGGATTCGAACAGGGGATGTGTGGTTCCAAAGACCCTTGGCCTCTTGAGCCCAACTCGCACGACATGCGTCGCAAAGTCGATCTCTCTCAACTCATTTTGTTCGTACGAACCTTTGGTGTAGCGGTTATAACGAGTTGAGTGAGAAGAGCGAGGAGCGTGTAGAGCGGGCATAGTGAGAGAAGTGATGGTATACTTTTATGCATTCTTTACTGCTTTTACAACCTTCCGGATGCAATTGGTGTTTTTTTTTCACTTTCCGGCCAATTATGTGTTTGCATAATGAGAGTGTTGTCTGGGCTTAGGTTGATTGAGTCTGAAATTGTACATCAACTTCAATTAAACAATTTCCAAAAATGCACCTT